TCAAATCATAGTAAAAATTTACTCGAACTGAACTGAACCGTTTCAATTTATTTAGAACCGAACTAAAATCATTGGTTTGATGTATCGTTTAGAAATTTCAAACCGTACTGAATCGTTAGAAGATAATTTTTCCAAACTGAATCATTTATTAAAAAACTGAACCATTAAACTATTTTTCAATTTTTTTAAAAAAAATATTTAAAACTTTTTTTAAATTTTTTAAATTTTTTAGTTTCGGTTCGGTTTCAGTTTTGATATGATTTTAAAACTATTTTATGCAATATAATTTGATTCACTAACCAAACACAACAATTCGGTTATTTACCTTCAACTCAACAATTCAGTTCAATTCATAGTTTTTTTAAACAATTCATACTTATCCTCTTTTAATTTTAATTTGAGGGGGGCTATTTCATGACCAAGATGGCAATATTTAAAACTAGTTTCTAACTTAAATATGTTGGTTATAGTTAATTAATTCCTCTTATGCAGCGCACGATTGGTTAATATGCTCTTCATTCTTACTATAAATATAACTTGTATCATCTTTATTCATAAAGTTGAAATTCATTTATTTATAATACAAATTAAATATTATATTAATAGTGGTATATTCAAATATTTAAAAATATTTAAAATTATTTCCTTCATCCTAAAATAAATATTACATTTATAAAAATTATTTATCTCAAAATATTCCAATGCATTTTTAAATTGATCTTCCAATTGTACTCATAACTAATACTTCTAATTTAACATCTCTCTTACGTTATATTAATAATAATTAAAATATATCAATAACTAATAAGAATAATTTGTTAAAATTGATATTCTCTCATTCATTTATCAAATTTTTTAAATTTGAGTTAAAATATTTACTATACCACTTATTTTAAACGGAAGTAGTTTTTTTTTTTTTTTAATGTTTAAACAAGTGTTCTAAAAATTCATGGAAAACCACAAAGTTCTCACATTCTATTTATTTTTTCATTGAACACAAAATGTTAGTTGAAAATAATATCAAACTATATGGTAGGGAATAAAAGTAAAGAAATGAAATAGGAAGGTGTTGAATCTTGTTGGCAAAACTCCTCAAATTTTTTTCTTTTTAGAAGGTGAAGTTTGTCTTTCTAACATTGAGATGACATTTCCTTAATCTACAACTTTGCATACAAAACAACATAATGAGCTATGAGCCCCAAATTATGAGATACCTATGACTTTACTCTTCAACAATTCAACAAAAAAAAAAGATTATTATATGAATTAGACTTGGCTAGATTGTGAAGCCAAAGTAGGTCCTATATGGATTAAAATTTTAGGATTACCTCCTGGCAGGGTGTTTGGTATAGCCGGGTCCAACTGACCTACAATCATTCAAAGTCTACAAGTAATATCATATTGGGAATATTTTGTTTTTTCATTCTTGTCCAAACTTCTTTAATACTAAGTTAGTGTCTCATTTACAATGTCACACTTTCACATTAGAATAGTAATAAGTCCATAAGTTTGTTCAAAAGAATGCTCCATAACTATAGCATTTTCTAATAAGTATTCTTGACCTATGGGATATTATATTGCAATTTTGTTAGCATACATTTTATTATTATTATAAACAAGTATTTTCTTTACCGATTTATTTAATAATTAATATACCTGATCTATATAATATAGAAATTATATATAATAACAATATTTGTATTTGTGAACATCTCGAGTTTGACTAAAAATATCTATTTTAACTAAGTTCAAGTTTAAATTTTTTTTAATTTTTAAAATATAAATATGAGACACATAATGAGAGTATTATACTAATAACTATTTCAAACTCATTTTCGAATGCGCATTTGATTTTGATAAATTAGAATATTAATAATTTAGTGAATACATTTAATATTTAGTTTATACTTTATTATTTAAAATGTATATTTAAAATTTTTAAAGATCTTTTTAATTTATTATTTCTAACCTTCTTATATATTATGAGTTTGCAAAAACTATTTCAAGTTTTAAAAAATTGATTTAGAAGCAGAAACGGAATAAGGCGGAGATATCCTAATCTGCTTAGGACAAATTTTTGATTCAATCGTGTATCTTTGTTTGAATTTGAGGCAAAAAGAGATATTTAATTGAGATTCAAGTATGAATATAGACAAAGTAAACTTTGTCTTGTTCTGTTCGGCTATCATCTTTAATAGAGATCAAATACATTATTTATTTAAATACTTTAAAAAATATATATATTTATTAGACTCAAAAAAATTTTAAAAATTAAACAATATTTAATAAATTAGCATTCTCCTACTAATATTATCTCTGATTCTTAATAAAAAAAATTTTATATATATTTATTGAATAATTAATATATCTTCACTCAATATATATATATATATATATATATATATATATATATATATATATATATATATATATATATATATATATATATATATATATATATATATATATATATATATATATATATATATTAGTTCAGATATATTAATTATTTATTAAATAAAAAAAATATTATATTAAAGACGGAGTACTATTTAAAATAGAATCGGTAATGACGATATTTATTTTTAATTAAGAAGCAAGGTGCCGACCAAAGAAATTGAAGTTGTTTGTGTATGAAGTCCAATAAAGAAAAGGCCTTATTGACAATAACTCTTCATTTTGTCGCATGGAGGAATATTGTCAAGACATAAACAGCTAATTTACTAAGGACAAATAACAATAAGACATAAAATAATAAGCACAAGAAAGGTTTTGAATAAAGCTTAAATCCAAAAACTAATAATAACAACCATAAAACATGTCCTGTATGATCTATCCTATGCAAAAAAAAGTCAATAAAAGACAAGGTTCCATGTCCTTGTCTAAGCCTAGCTGTTTCTACACTTAAAACACTTTAAAGCAATCCCAACATGTGTTAATATTTTGAATTGGATTTCATTTTTGGTTCCCAAAAGTGGTCCCTAATAAAGAATACATCCAAAACTCCCAACCACTAGAAAAAAAATAGTAAAGTAAAGGGTTCTTCTCTTTCAAAAGAATGCCAAATTCCTGTTTTTGATGTTTAGCTAAACTCCAAACATAACTTGATTGAATGGGCAATTGGGAAGATGACAAGAATTAATCACATTGATGTTGAAAGATGGTGAAATTTATGATTCAATCATTTCATTTCATGTTCTTTTTTGGTGGATGGGGTTTACTACTACTTTCATTCCCTCCAACAAGCTTCAATTATCTTTAATCACATGTAAATTTATACTTAATTCAATTTTAAATAATTAAATACTTTTCTATGTAATTATAGAGAACAATCTTTTATAAATAAAACTTGTGTTAGCTACTTAAAAAATTGTATAAATTTAATTGAAAAAGAAATTAGAGGAATCTTACTTTTATTTTTGTTAATGTAACTAGAATAAAAAGAGGGGTGGTAAATCAGAGAATAAAGTAAATTCTTCATCTTTTTTACCACTAGTGCACTAGTACAACCTTTTACTTCTATTATTTACATTTTCTGATGATTCAGATGCTAAAGATGATATAGGCATGCTTTATATTTTGGAAGGTCCTAACGACAAAAATAAAAAAGAGTGTTACTTTTAGAATAGTGAGGAAAAAACAAAAGGTTAAACTTTTTTCTACTTTTCTAGTCAAATGGACAAGTCATGCCAAAATTTACTTATTTCACCTTGTCCTATATCATAGGCATTTTATTCTTCAACTTTTAAGTATGTTTTGTTCTGATAAAAAAAATTATGTGAATTAATCCTTTAAAGTTGATTTTAATTAAAATTAATTTGAATATAAAGTAATTATGTATGGATAGTTTTATGAAAAATTAAGCTGAACAATTAAGTATAATATAAAATTATGTTTAAACTTAAAAATTATAAATTTCAACTTTATATTGATTCAATTCTACTTATTAAAACTTAATATCTCAAAATCAATTCTATATTTTTAAAATTGCTTTTAACTCTTTTAAAAGTTAAATAAAACTTACATTTAAACCATCTTCAGCGGTAGATTTTTCTACCTAGTTTATCAGCTGTAATCCACTTTTTCTATCAATTGTCATTGGAGTTGAAGAATAGTTTTTCAGACGGCAACACCGCTGCATTGTGAAGCAACGTACGACAATGTATTAAAATATATTAAATATAATAGAAACTAACCGTTCAAGTTTCAACGGTTATTTATTTTTTTATTTTATTTTTTTAACTTTATTTTTATTATAAATATAATTTTGGTTTTCAAAAATTTACCAACACAACTATCTCTCACTTTTATTTTCTCTTCAATTTAAAATTTCTCTCTCACAATTTCATCATTTTATTCCTATACTTTTAATTTTTTTCAACAATTCTTTCTCATTAGCATTTTTTTTACAAAATATTTAATTCAAAATTTCATCTTTTTACTTCAAATTACAATTGTTTAGGCCAAATGGATCCTAATCATTTTCATTATCAATAAGCTTTTTTCAATTACATGCAAAATTATCAAAATCCTAATCCTCAAAATTCTCAAATTTCACCGGTGCCAACAAACCCTGTCATATTTCTTCCGTCACCAAACAATCCAAATATGTATCCTATACCTCAAATGAATTCTAATAGTATGGGATTCTCTACTCAAGTTCCACCATTTTCTACTCAAGTTGGTACTGAAAAAGAAGAAAGCGTTGTCGTTAAAAAAAAGATCTCGAGAGCAATTTACAAGGGAAGAGGATATACTACTTATCCAATCATGGCTCAATGTTTCAAAGGATCCAATTGTGGGAGTTGATCAAAAGGCTGAGAGTTTTTTTGTTAAGAATTGTTGCTAGTTATAACCAATATCATGGGCAATTGCGGGAAAATTTAAGGGGACAGTTAAAATGTCGATGGCATATAATAAATGGCATGATTCAAAAATTTGTTGGGTGTTACAAAATTGCTCTTAAAGGAAAGAAAAATGGGACCTCTGAGACCGATGTCATGGCAGATGCACATGCTATTTTTGCTCAGGATCAAGGTACAACATTCAATCTTGAGCATGCATGGCGAAGGTTAAAAGATGAAGCTAAATGGCGCGTCGTCGAAGAATCGATTGGAAGTTCTGCAAAAATAACAAAGACTTATGCTAGCGGGGCATCATCGGAGAACCCAGATACAACTCGAAGTTATGAGTTTAACTCATCATCACCAATGGAGAGTTAAATGAGACAAAAAGCAGCAAAAAGGAAGGGTAAGGCATCAGAAATTCCAAATGCAACGCAAGATGCAAAGAATAAAAGAGCAATAACAATGGACAAACTTGCGCAAGCTAAGGAGGACGAGTTAGAATTAAGGGTGGTGCAAATGATGATGAAAGACACTTCTACTATGAACGATAGTCAACAAGATATTCATGAAATATATTGTAATAAGATGAAAAAAAATGTGGAATATAGTTAGTATCACTTATGTAAAATGGTCATTAGTACCACTTTAATTTATCAACACCTATGTAAAATAGTCATTAGTACCACTTTAATTTATCAACACCTATGTAAAATGGTCATTAGTACCAATTTAATTTAAACTAGCCGTTATTCAAACTACCACTTTAATTTAAACTAGTCGTTATTCAAACTAGTCGTTATTCTAACCATTATATATACTACCACTTATGTCATTGTTCTCTCATTCTCATCTTATTCTTCTCATTTTTCTCTCATTCTTTACTCACTAAATGGATTCAGACAATTCAGATAATTACGATCAAGAATTTTGGGAGTTGGTTGAAGAAGAATTTATGGACGAGAGTGATGAAGAACAACAACTTCAAAATGAACGTCGATCTGGAAGTTCCTCTGGGCCAAAGAGAAGAACAACGGTAGATTGAGGTCGTGAAGAAGGGCACAATCGATTATTAAATGACTACTTCTCGGAAAACCCAGTATACACAGATGTTTAATTCCGAAGAAGGTTCAGAATGCATAGACATGTATTTCTTCGAATTGTAGATGCCCTTGGAAATCATGATGAATATTTCCAAATGAGGGTCGATGCAATAGGTAAAATGGGTCTTTCACCATTGCAGAAATGTACATCTGCTATTTGTATGCTGGCGTATGGATCTCTTGCTGACCTTGTAGACGAATATGCTCGAATCGGTGAAAGCACTTCAATTGAGTGATTAGAAAGATTTGTTAAGGGTGTCAATGTTGTATTTGGCGCTGAGTATTTGAGAAAGCCTAACAACATTGATGTTGAACATCTTTTACAAATGGGAGAGTCACGTTGCTTTCCAGGTATGTTGGGTTCCATCGATTGTATGCATTGGGTATGGAAAAATTGTCCTATTGCATGGAAAGGACAATTTTTTTCGAGGTGATCATGGTAAGGGCACAATCATGCTTGAAGCAATGGCATCACAAGACTTATGGATTTGACATGCTTTTTTTGGTATTGCAGGTTCAAACAATGACATTAATGTGTTAAACCAATCCAACGTGTTTAACGATATTTTGGATGGACGTGCTCCCAATGTGCAATATACAATCAATGGGACACCATATAATATGGGGTATTATTTAGCATATGGTATATATCCCGAGTGGGCTACATTTGTCAAGACTATTTCAATGCCACAGGGAGAAAAGAAAAAATTATTTGCTCAACATCAAGAATCGGCTAGAAAAGATGTGGAGCGAGCATTTGGAGTGCTCCAATCTCGATTTGCAATTATATGTGGCCCAGCACGTGCCTGACACATGGGCACTCTCAAGCATACCATATATGTCTGCATCATATTGCACAACATGATTGTGGAAGACGAACGACATACATATGGAGGTAATTTTGATTACTCTTATGATAATGTGGATATCATAACTCAACAACTGAAACATTTAGCGGTCATCATCTGAATCTTGCAACAAGACTATAAAGAAGAGCAAGTATTCAAGAAAAACAAGTTCATCGTAAACTTCAAGGAGATCTAGTCGAATATACTTGGGAACGTTTTGGATATGAAAATGATGAAATTTAAGTTTGATTAATTATGTGATGTTATTTATTTTTATTGTTTTTAATTATATATCATGTATTTGAGATTAATTTTAATTATCATTTTAAATTATAAGTTTAATTTAATTTTTTTTATTTTATATCAAATTTAATTTAAAACACTAAAATTATTATTTTAATTAATATAAAATTTAATATAAATAAAATATTAATATATAAAATAAAGTTGTGAGATCTAATATGAGTTCTTCAGACTTACAATATTAAAGTGAAAAAATAGTTTAGTTGCTTCAAGCTGACTTAATAGGTTCCGCAAAGAACCCAAAGATAAGTTCAGTATTGGAGATGCACTTAGTATGTCTTCAATATTGAGTCAAATCACATAAAGAATCATATCAATGTAAAAGTTAAGATTTTGAGTTTCTTGAAATCACTTAGGCTTTAGCTCCACCTCTATTAACTTCTTACATTAATAATCATAATGGTCGATAACTGATTTTAACACTGAGTAAAATTAATTCTTTTTTAAATTGATCTTATTTGAATATAAATGTGATTTTTATATTGAAATTTAACTTTTTTTTCAGCAAATTTTTCAAACAAATCATTTTATTTAAAATCAATTTATCACTGCAGAACCAAACACATACTAAATAATGTGAGATAATGTGTAGCATAATCTCAACTGAAATAACAAAACTACTAACAAAAATATCTTAACTCACATGTTTTAGGGTTTTAATATTCCTTCATTATGAAACGCAAAAGGGTCTATCATTGTACCCCACACCAAACTTTTTCCACAATTATCATGATGCAAACATAACAAAATCCAAGCAACAGTGCAACACTATTTTGTAACGCAAGAAATTAAAACTGTTGAATTGGAACTATATCATAATACAACAACATATACAATCAAGACATTGGCTTCTATCATAAGAAGAATCCAATCAAACTAAAAGACAAAAACATACATCCAATCCAACACAAACTATATATATAAATATATATATACTACAATAGGAAAATACAATCCCCATATAGAAAACCATCAATCAATAATTCAATACCTAATCTTCAATCAACCTCCATAGATATTATAATAATAGTTAGTAATGCTTCATAACTCTATTATAAGTACACACCATTCCATTACACTAGTAAGTAATAAAGAAAAAAGTACAAACACTAGAGGAAAAAACCAAAATAACCCAAATGAAAAATTGAAGCTTTTGTTAAGTAATGTTTAGTAATAGTATTAACAATTAGGATTAACAAAGTTCTTGATTTCGTCCATAAGGCAATAGAAATGATCATTATTGGGCAAGAAGTAAAAACCAATAGTAGCCTCCTTAAGGTAAAGAAGTTTAACCTCTTGACCAAAACTCCTCAAACCTTCCACATAAGCCAATTGCCAATCTTGTAAAAGATCCAAACCAGCAACACAAACAAGACTTTTGGGAAATTTTTCAAGTCCTTTTAGATTTTTTACCCCTTTAGGCCCAAACGGGTTACAAGCTGGGTGGTCTCTATCTTCACCTTCTGGTAAAAAAGCTCTCCAATACCAATCACGGTCTTGTAATCTAACGAAGTACTTACAATCTAATCTAATTTCAGAATCTGTTCTCTTTTCCCCGCCAAACAATGGATGAAGAAGAATGTTCCCTAAAATCTCGATTTTCTCTTCCGAAGCTTTCACCGCTACATGATGAACAATGTTGCCACCCGAACTATCGCCCGCCATGTAAACATTAACTTTCTTCTCCTTTTCCTTCCCACTTTGAAGCCATCTTCTTGATTTCACCCATTTCAGTGCATTCCATCCATCCTCATAGCAACATGGAAACCGATGCTCCGGAGATCGTCGGTAATTAACCGAAACAACCGCCGCTTTACAAACGCTCACCAGTCTTCTGCAAAGCGTGTCGTAGATAGCACTGTTTGCCGATGAATGAGAGAAGCTTCCTCCATGGAAGAATATTATTACGGGAACAATCTCTGTTGTGCTCAATGGCTTCTCCAAATCCACAACACCCCATTGAGATTCATTCTCGGAAGATGGTAGATAAACTCGGTTGAATAAACCACTGTTTCGATCTACGTGATCGAAAGAGAACACCCCCTCAACAGGAATTGCGTTTGCCGGTACTTTTCTGTCGAGAAACTCTGCTAAATCTCGGTTGAATGTCCCATCTGCTCGTCTTAGAAGATTGTAAGCAAGCTTGAAATTTGAAATAAGCACGTACGTATTCAAAGGAACAACACTCTGCAAAAAAAAATACAAAAAAGTTCAGATTGTTTCCAATTTTTTTAGCACAAATATTGAAGAAAAGACAAGAATTTCCAAGTATATTTTCTAGAAGAAAATACAGTTTAAAAAATGTTTGTTAAAAAATGAACCCAACCACACACAAAAAAAACTACATGTTCCTAATAAAGAAACAAAATAAAGGCATAAAAAGAGAGGTTGAAAATATATGATAGATGGAAGATGAAGATGATGAATACCCTGGATTCACTGGGGTTGAGTTGATTAGTACCGGTCATATTTGAAGAGAAAAATGGAAGAAGATGAAGAAGAGAAACATAGATAGAGAAAAAGAAGAAAGAGTGTAATAAATGAAGGATAGAGTAAAGAAGAAGAAGTGTAGAGGAGTGTATATGAAACAAAAGAGAACAGAGGTAGTTTAGGTTATTAGTAGTAGTTTAGAGAGAGAGTCAAATGGCGAAGACGGTAGACACGACAAACTGGGCGGCCGAATTTTACTGTTTGGGTGGGTCCCGCCATTTATTCTATATTTTATTTTATATAAAATGCAGAAAGTAATTTGTATGTTTATTCAAGAAATATGAAAATTTATTTACGTTGAACCTCAAGAGTTGATTTAGTGGTGGCGGTTTGAAATTTCGGTTTGTTGCCATTAGTTTTTGTGGATGGTAAGGTGGGATATCAAAATTTCAAAAATAATTATCTATTTATTAAAAAGAAAAATAAGTGAGATAAATGGTATTATTATTTTATGATTAAATATATTTTTAATTTTTTAAAATATTTTTTAAAGAATGGTTCTTTCTAAAAAAAAATTATCCATATTTTTTATTCCTCTTGTAATTTAGTGACGATTTTTACAACTTAATGATAAAATTAGTGACGACTTTAATGACAGTTTATTACTTAGCAACTAAATTAGCAACGATTTTAG